GTCACATGTTTTAATTAATCTGTGCATAACTTGTGTTTTGTTCAGAAAATGTCCCCGAAGAAGATGCTGAAGAGAATGATAGTGACGATGATGCTGGCAGTGGCGATGAGAACACGGAAGAAGAGGGTGATGCCGATGGTGATGAGGGTGAGACAACCGATGAAGATTCTGAAAAGGGTGACGCCGATGGCGATGATACCGATGGCGAAGAGGGTGAGGGAACCGACGACGATGATACAGCAGCTGAATCTTCTGAAGCTGCTAAAACCAATGAAGACACATATATGTCTGCCCCCCTGTTGAACATGAAGTCAATCAACCTCCACCAACAGTTGACTCCTCTGATACAGAACGGTTGAAAAGAACAAAGAGGAAGCTTACTGATGGACCATCCAAAAGAAGTCCTTATGTAGAACCAACATCAACTGGTCCACCGGCCAAAAGACAAAGATCTCAGGCTGTAGGAGGTCGAGGCAGAGACAGAGGTCGAGGCAGAGGTAGAGGCAGAGGCAGAGGCCGAGGCAGAGGCAGAGGCAGAGGTAGGGGCAGCGGCAAAGGTCGAGATAACACTGCCCAGGAGGATGTTGCTGGGGAAGACGACGATGAGGAAGAAGCTTCTGAGGATGACATTGATGCGGTCGAGACTGAGAAAGGAATTCTGCATTCGTCAAGTGAAGAGAAGGTATTTGTATGAAATCCAGAGCGTGTCAACCCGCATGGAGGTCTCATCAGGACTCCAGGATTTGTAGAAACATCTGGTCCACGGGCCAACGCTCTATGGGAGTTTATGAAGAAGCCGCGAGAGACGCGATTGTGGAAGTCATAATTGGATGGAATACGTACGTCAAAATTTTGGGAAGATCTTCTACAAGTGGGAGTATGGGTCACAGATACTGTAAGTTTACATTAAGTTATCTTACTTAACAAGGTCACACGTATCTTGGATATATGGTACCAAATGACTCAGTCACATGGTACCATTGCACTCAGTCACATGGTACCATTGCACTCAGTCACATGGTATCATAGTTACTTGGTCACATGGTACAGACTTCTGAAATATGTTGTTTTTTTTTGTAGCATATTGAGGAGGCAATGTATGAGTTACGACTCCGCGTTATGAACAACCCGGTGACCTACATATGAAGCAATTATATGGTTGCTGACACTATTTTCACGGAGCACATCAAGTGGTGGGAAAAATCTGGTGACTTGTCAACTCTGGGAGCTCTGAAGCCGTACTTCGAAGGAAGCCTTCCAACTGGGTGTGCAGGAACGCCTTTGAACACTTACAACGGCTTTGTAAGTGTACTTAACATTCCATCCCTTTCAGACGATCAAATCAGTTGCCATTGGAACGCCATTCTGGTGGATTTCAATGAGAAATTGCTTCAAGTTTTTGACTGCCAACCGAGACTAAGGGTCAATGTGGAGAGTGTAGTTCAAAAACTAAGTCGTCTTATCCCTAAGGCTTGTCTCCTTGCTGGGTCAGAATCTTTCTCTGATGGAGAAGAACTGGAGATTGAGTATGTGGAGGGACTACCTGAGAATGCTAACGGTTGTGACTGCGGTGGTTTTGCTGCGAAGT